TTTCGAGCATTCGGAGAGTTATGCAGCAACTCACACCATTAAGGCGTTCAATATTGATTCTGCTCATCGCGACAAGAACCAGTCGTGCAGCCCACTTGGGGTATTCGGTGGTGCCAGCCAGATACTGGTTTCTGATGCAGCTTTTATTTACTATTGCACAGGAAACCTATATGTGCACAGGTGTAGTTCAATCGAATATGCTAGCAACAAGTAAAATTACCGTGGTTCTCTAACCCACGATCTTCTTGATACAGTATAGTAGTTTAACTTTCTTTACATGTGGGACTAAATAACTCTCAGTGGTGATGCCTTCACGGCACCATTCATTTATTACATAATCACAAAGAGCCACAAGAAGTTGCTGCAACAGCTGTGCATATGCACTCAGCTCACATCCAGAACTAGTGGAATACTTAGAGTTTAGAAAAAAGCTGATGAGTGACGAGTATCTTTCAGCACGACTGGACGTTATGTTTCTATCAGGGGTGAGTTGCGCCGTCTTAAGGATATACAGTCGTGTCCACTTTATTACCCATCATCAGGATAGTTCAAAAGTGAGCAATAAAGCGGGGTGGGCAATTAACAGATAATGCCATTTTTTCAAAAGGGAAACAACCATTGAATTGTTGTGCAGTATATCACTTGAATTGTAACTTGCTAAGAAAGATAAAATACTTAGTTGTAACCAAAGCCTACAAAAAGCGTTTATTCAGAAGAGTATAACCTATAATTTAAAGTTAAAAACATAGCGCATCTTAGCTGGATAGCTGTAGAAATCGGCGCTACTGTATATGTGTTTGCTGGGAAAATATCCAACGTCAGTTGTACATTATTTCGAGCTGCTACTCCAGTCACTTTTGCATTGATAAAGTCCAATTTAGACAAGAAACCTTTGCCTAGTCCATTACAAAGTCCGTAGCTATACAGATCATTAGCAAAGCTCTTTACTTTTGAAGTCAACATGCACGGATTACTGCCTCTCACGGAGACATCCGGTACGTCATCCTCTAAGTCGCTGGCTTCTTTCTGTTCTAGTCGGCTCTCTAAAACTTTACTGACGACTGCATCTACAACAGTTGTCAGATTTGTGGTACATACCACATCGTTGTCGGTGGCAACGCACTCGTGCACTGATGAGTAGGATTGTGGAAGCGTTGATCTCGTCCTCAACGATCACGGCGCCATCAGAAAGCGCATCTGACGCCAATTGATTGAAGTCCGTATGCCAAAAACAAGCTTCTGTTGTTGCACCGGTAACTTGTCTCTAACGTTTTGAAACGAACTTAATTGCATCGAGTACAGAAATCTTGGCGCTGATATCTACAGCCGACGATCAGCCAGACAACACGTTTTCGATGGGATAAGGAATTCGGTCCACAATTACTTTCCTGTAACGGATTTGCACAATCACAATCAAACCTTAGCCCATGGGTTAAAGAATGCTTGTCGTGTTTGTCTGCAGAAATTCCATTTGAATGCCTTTCAGGCCTTCTACCTGTGGATGCGCTGTGCAATTGTCCGAGACCAGCATAATTTTTCGACCAATTTGGCTTATGTCCTTTTCTCATTCGAGAACGCACACGGTGAAATGTTCTTCCTTCACCCAAGCATTTTTGTTAGCTCTGTAAGTTACGGGTAGTGTGTTCATGTTCGCGCCATTAAAACATCGTGGTTTCCAAATTTATCCACGTAAAGTCAGCTTTCTTTTATCCATGTCTGACATATTCGCGCAGCTCAGGCGAGTGATCCAATCCATGGCTTTTTCGATCCGCTGAGCTTGTCGGCAGAAAAACACAAAGTGCTCTCTGGAGTTGCTCGGCAACAAAGACCTGTCTCGTACGCATTGCACACGTTATCATCAAATGCAGGCAGTCGATCTTTCAGCCAATTTTCCAGACTCCACTGTCCACGGATATGTTTTCGCACGTTTATACACAATTTGTTTTCTACTCTTTCAGCTTTGCAAACTTACTTATGTGGCAGCAAAGATTTTTCTAAGTCTTTCTCCGAATGCTTCTGGCATTTGCTTCAGCGGTGGACTTGTAACTGCTTGGCTGTGTTCATGAAGTGATATCATCCATCCTTTCGATGCAGTTTCAACTTCTTCATCCTTTCCACATCACTTTCTTTTCTGAGAGCTTGCAGTACCATGCGACAGATTCCGCTGGATTTCCTACTCCCTGGTAATCAACCTGGCTAGAGTACAAAGAGAAATGGTGGAAATCACGCGGCAAATTGAGCTGCGAGGTTCCTGGTCGATAGATTTTAATTTAGTCCAAAACGTCCAACTTTTCTGTCAAGCACAAATCCTTTCTATTACTGGCCATACTTGTATGTACTCAATAGACTACTGACAAATGTGGAACGGAAAGACTACCTGATTTTGCTCAGTTTTTGTGTTTTGAATCGGGCCGAAAGCTTGCCCACAGCCGTCTGTACATTTAGCTTATTCGTGGGTGCATAAAAGCTAGTTATTGACTTGACTTGAGCATTGAATGACGTACGTAACCCTTTCTGATCTGTCAATCATGCCGCTGACGTCTTTGTCGTTCTCGACTCGGTCGCACTGGCTAGCTGTGCAGTAATCGTAACAAAAGATAGCCGGAGCGAGGGGGTAAACATGACAAAGTGATGACAACACAGCCCACGCAGATGGGCAATTACTCTGTAGGAAGACCCCGGCAATGAGCAATCGGAGAGTGAAAAGTTAGCATAATTATGCGAATATAAATTGTAGGTAGAAAAACTGGACAATAAAGCGGGGAGGGCTATAAACCGGGTAGGAACTAAAGCGGCTTCGATGGTATCCGTCACATTCATACACGGAAAAAGTGGATATATGGAAGTCTGTAGAGTTCTATAGAACAACTAACTAGGCCCTCTCCAAATGTCGATTCCAGATGTCGATGTGTTAAACTGCAACTGATGTCGTTCCAGAATTAAATCCGTATCTGGTCCATTCTCTCCTAATTACAATTAATTGCAAACTCATCACTCACGATCGACAGTGGATGATAAGTCGAGGCAGATAAAGTGGTCCATGTGATGGGAGTAGTGTATCGGACGGAGAAACCTTCAGGATAGTCGGTTGGATGCCAATCGAATAGTCTCGCTTACTGACCGTCTCAAGCTCTGCCGAATGAATGAAGGTTGTCGGCTATTGTTTGTTCGATGAAATGGGGTACACTACTGGTGGAACTACATTCTTCGTCTTGGTACTGTTTAGATACTAGTTATGCAATCGTTGTTGGAAGCAGCTATGCAGTGTTTTTCTTTTGCCTAACTTTCATCCGATAAACCTGAAGGACTGAGTTTACAACAGTCTTGGCAGCTTATCTCCCATCGTCTCAAAAGAATATGACGATTCCTCGACTTAGGAACTTGCTAATCTGTATTTGCTGTGGAAGTACGAAATTAACTTGATGTCTACTCGTGAAATGCAGCCGTAATTTCAGTGCCAAAGAAATTATCGTACAAATACCAGTCCAGTCCTCGAGCTTTAGTAAACTTGAAAGCCTTTGTTAAAGTTATTTTTAAAAGGATGCTGACCATACACATCTAATTGATCCTCTTCCGTTGGGTTACCATATTTAGTGGTCTATACAAGACACAGTGTTGTGCTCCTTTGACATCATCGTTGCTATCATCGCTAAACAATGCCAACTCCCGGTAGATTCGCTACCTTGACTAAGTTAGCAGCATCGACTATAAAAACCGTTCTTTTCCGTCGATGGATCTAATTTATGTTGAAGCTCGACATCCGTCGTCCAACTTCTGAAAGACCATCTCATGAGACATGATCTGATAGCCCACATTTTCGGCAATGCCCCCTTCATGTTCACCACTAACTGCGGTAAAATTCAAGAGGTTGTTCAGACACCATCGTTTCTCAACTATTTCCGCTCAGTACTTGCTTGTGAAGAATATTTCTTGCTGAAACATGTAAATGATATGGCGTTGGTTATCAAATATCCAACCTAATATCATCGACTAAGTTACAGGCTTTTCTGAGCACCTTCATTGTGGTCCATAGCCGGTGTAGTGTCGCCGAATAAAATACTTCCATGATCTGATCTTCTATACGCACAGCAGCCCACCACAGAGCTCACTGAGTTCCACATATGTACTAAAGATTTATACCCCATCAAGTGTCTAGGTACCACTGTGAGCCACGAATATAATTAGATAACTTCATGTGAACAAACTAGCTTATAAACGTAATGAAGCGTTTAACCTGTGCCACGCAGCTACAAAAATTGCTTGTCCTCCACTATCTGATACTCCAAAGTATCACTGCCTATTGGTTACTTTGCCGGTATACTGTTCGCCGAGAAACTTTATTAATGCACTCGTTAGGCCTATAGACGTTCTAAAGAGATCGTTAAACCAAATCCCTGCAAGTAGTTTTAATGGCAATCTGAAATCGAAGTATATTAATATTGTTGTACCTACCAAGATTATTCCGTACAAAAATTGCTCCAACATACTCATCTTCTGATGGTGTAGAAAGTTCAGGAACTAGAAGGAAGTACGACATCAATCACGCTCGCCGATGTGCCCGTTTCTTGTCCGTAATCGCGTATGCAGTAGATTTGGTACAGGACAATTTATACAGTTAGCCAGCAATTTTGGGCGGTGCCATGTATCAAATTGACTTTCCCATTATCTTAAAATTTTCGTATTTTACGATTGTGATATATGCATATATATATGTATAGTAGAACCCCCTCTTACATGCATTTTCACACTCAGGTTTTTCCTGCTGGTGTCAACAACAAATCAGGACTTATCAATCCGGGTGTAAATACGTCTAATAGTTTTATCTTCAACGCCCAGAGCACATCAGTACTCGTATAATGGGGTGGTCTTTGGTGGATACTCTTATACTTTAGCTGAAGCGCTGATTCTCTTATCAGTGTTGATCACACCTTATCCCGTTTTGTCTGGTCTGTAATGTCAGTTGAATCGTATATCACTGTCATCTTGTTTCCTGTTCACAGATGGATGCGTAGAGGTGTTGAAGGCTAAGAAACGGATACGGGAAATGGGCCCTGGCACAGTGTTTGGTGAACTGGCGATATTATACAACTGTACAAGAACGGCTAGCGTGAAAGGTGAGTGTTAGTAAGTGTAACACACTGTTGGCAAATGAGGGTGATTAATAGAAGATAATGCAAACGGAATCTGTAACGCAGGGGGAATGAATTCTAAGATTTTTGTATCGTAGTGCAGTTCGGTAACAACAGCCCTATGGTATCCGTGAAAATTCAACGAAACTTAATCATGTTTTGTTAGCAAAACGGTCTCCTAATCACCTTGGCGATATAAACTACTTCTCGGCACCACAACAGGCGGGCACAAACAGTAGTTGTGACCGGTTAGTACATACTACCTTTGCATACTATTGTGGTAAATACGAAAGGATGGAAATAAGCATAGAATGCATGCGAGAAAAAAGGGAACTTCCAGACAGTGAACGTGAAAACGTTTGATAATGCCGATGTAGGCGTGTCTAGTTTTGTCAAGAGTAAACGTCTAGTTCTCTAACTATTTATCTTAATATGCTACTTTAAGCAAGGTCACATCTGCTGACAACACCGTATAAAAATATTTCGCTCATTTTGCTTTCATTAGTAAGCTTAGTGTGGCAGTTCAAGGAATAACAACATATGGTATAGAGTCTTTCTTTGTAACATTATCAGATAGATCTATTCTCTTCAAATACAGTGGGCAGATAACTTCGAAGTTTGTTTCCAATTTGCAGGTCTGACCAAGCATGACAACACAGGAGCATATTAATTTTCTTGCTTCCGCTATTTGACTAGAGGTTATGTAATCATTTTTGCACTGCCAATTAAGTTTCATCGCTATCACTGATGTCTGCTAGCATTACGCTTGGGCAGTTATGCTTCTGGCACCGAAGTCCAGTGGGCACAGTTTATTACACCCACACTGTAATGAAAATAACCGTAATACTCAATGATTGGGGTATTATGGAAGAATAAATAAAGCATACCGAAAGATATCCAAAGGGAGAGAGTTTAGAAAAATCGCATTCCTTAAACGGAGTAGTTCGCACGTACTAGTAGGACATGAAATGCAGCAGCACAAAATATTCGGATACTGCCTCCATCTAATAACTTGGTTAGTAAAGCACTGGCTTATAGTAAAGCATCACAACGTTGCGCACCAGTTTCATGGTTATCTTGGTCAGTTTGGATAAACCGCTCTTGCATGGAGATGCATATTATTCGGCGATACTAAAAGGTAATGTTTAAAAAGCTGTGGAACAGTCATGATCTCCTTAATATGACCGCTGAATTTTGGGTATAAGGAAAATGATCAATTAATTTATACATATTATGAAGCGTTGCTTTACAAGTCTTGTTGGATAGTTGGTGGGGATATCGAAATAGCGATAATGGTAATAATGGTAGTAAAACAGTTAGTACTTCAAATATGAAAATAAGCACTCATCGTTTGCTCCGCTGTAGTCCTGCAATTCACTTAGATCCACAGCACCCGCAGTTAATAACAAATAATCCCATGATAGACTCCAGGTGTAGGATGGAGACATAATGCTAAGTGACAAAGTGTAAGTGGATAAGTGCGTCATCAAACCGTCTTTCAAATACTGTTAGTGTCGGTGCAGAAACGACCGGGTGATGGACACGAATGGAAAAGGAATTTCTGCTGCACTTCAGTCGATTATACTGTACAGGGAGTTTCAACGAGTGCCCCATCAGGGTTGTATTGGTGCTGAATTGCAGTAAAATGCGGTACACAAGATGTGGGTCTCGCAGAATCAAGTATGCCATAATCAGGTCACCTCGAAGTCTGCGATAGCTTCCACTGAGTACCCCAATCGTTGCAGCCTCTCTTACGAAAGATTGCGAATTCCTATTACGTTCTTAGATGCCCGACCTTGTGGCAGCTCCAGTGCATTAAGGTGGTTGTTCAGTCATGGATGCCATACTTGAATTGCGTATTGGACGTATGCATTCGAACATATGCACCGAGCATTTGTTGAAATATGGAGCTGCTTATTTGTCCAAACGCCCGTCACAACAGTCCGGCGTGTTAGTTCCCGGACTTCAAGGCTTTTTCGGATTGCCTGGAGCAATCCAAGTCATCTTAAACCAGGACACACCAGTCATTTTCGAGAGTGCATCCCTGTAGTATATTCGTTCCGAGTCGGTATGAGTAGCTGCTCTGATGTCGATAGAAAGTACGTTGCATTTACTGCCTTTAGAATGCAGTAAATTTTGGGTTGACCATTGATACAACGCATCAAGGTCACTCTGAAGCAGATGCTGGTCCCTGTTCGTCTGGATTCTGCGCCAGATCTTGATATCGTCGGCAAACATTAGGAAGCTTGAAGCAATTCCTTATGCATGGTCAGTAATAAACATCAAAAACAAACGTGGACCTAGAACTGACACTTGCGGCGTACCACACTCGACTTGTATGGGGTCTGAGAAAGAGCTCTGAACCCTTACCACTAATTGCAGTTGAAGTCGAAAGTTGGCAATCCAGCTTAAAAGAGGGTCTCCGATCCCGTACTGCTGGAGCTTGGAGAGTAATATCCGGTGGTTTAGACGTTCGAAAGCTTTCGAAAAGTCCAGGTAAATCACATCAACGCCTTCTCCAGCGTCAGTTGACTCGGTCCAACTACTGCGTGCGACTAGTGAATTCATTGCACATGACCGCTGTTGACAGAAACCGTACTGCTCAGGCGTGATGATTTTACAGTTTTCCAGATAGCACACCAATGCATCGGCAACTATGGATTACATGACTTTGGAGAGTATAGGAAGAAGGAATAGTGAGCGGCAGTTGGAGGGATCAGTTCTGCTTCCACCTTTGTGAAGGGGGGTTATTATTCCAAGCTTCCACATAGCGTGAACTTGATTCTGCTCTAAGCAGGGCTGGAAAACAACTAAAGTTCCTGATAGTTGGCATGCTGCTGCTCCTAATGCCTCTGGACGAGTGGTGTCGACACCCGGCGAGCTGTGTTTGCGTAGAGAAGTCAGCTTTTGCAATACAGCCTCTGCGGTAAAAGTGATGTGGGTTAGTCCTGGCGAGGAGAGGACAAATGTTAGAAGTTCGTTAGGTGGGATGACCCTCTGAAACGTGGGGGCATATTGCATCCGCAGCGCGTTTTCTGCTTCCACAGCCGTTCTTGTTGGGCCATTAGCCATCCTGAGTTGAGGAGATTCTTGCCCCACCTTTCGTAGGCTATTGACGTGCTTGTACAGCCGTTTGTGGTTAGCGCTGAAGGTTTTCGCGATGTTCTGCTGATAGGCGGCTTTGTCTTCTCCTAGCGGTTGAGTGCAGTGGTTAGGTTGGGTTAAGTAGTTGTCCCAAGTTTCTGGTGCGGGAGCCTCTATGTACACTCGCCATCCTGCGTTGCGTACTGTCATCTACTTGCGAGTTCTGCCCCTGAAAAAGGCAACCGATCTAACCTAATTGCAAAATCTTATCTCTAAAGCCTCTACAGTCAGCTGATTGAATTTATTGACGAACTCGAGCCAGGTGATTTCCGGAGGTTTTTCGTCAAGGACCGGCAAAGTTTAAGCGCTGACGAGCTGGGCTAATCGATCGTAGCTTGTGATGGTTCGCACAGTCTCATCGTTCTCATTCCGATATTCTGCATAGCAGACGAAGCTGAAACTGATGACTGAGTGATCACTGCGACCCAACGGGCAGTTTACAGCCAACACATCAATCATATGCTCCTCGTTGGTAGGCATGAGATCCAACACAGATGGCCTGTTACCTGTTCTGAACCGATTGGGCAAAATGATGTGATTGTAAAGAGGAACGGTGCTTATGAGATCTTGTAGATCGGCTTTGAATTGTTCTCCGCACCTGGCAGGAGTTTTTATACAATGTATATTGAAATCACCCATGTTACGTGTATGTACATTCGTTGTAAACTGCATCTTAAAGCAGCAGCTAGGTGGTAGTCGTTTTCGAGTGTAAAATTAAGGAGCGGTACACCAAGACAATAAGGCAATCGTCCCTGCCTTTTAACTGCAAGTGGTACCAAAGAGAGTCAGGGAACTGCGAGTCCGAATCCTCCACGGCTTCGCACTAAGTCGCTTAGGTAATACGGGATTACCCCTCCTCCTTTTGTGAGCGCATCGTTGTGGATCAGCGACATGCCCGGTAGCGAAATTTCATTGTCAGTCATTCCCGTCTGCAACCACGTCTAGGTGATACCAATGACATCATACGAGCCGGAAGCTTGGCGATCTTTCAGTTCAGCCAGTTTGTTAGAAAGACTCTGAGCATTTGTATACAAGCAGGCCAGTTTCTCGATCTCTAGGAGCCCGTAGAGAGGCGAAGCTGTCAACTGTGGGAGAATGCCGACCGAAGGGAGGTCGGCAGTTACTCATTTTTTTGATGCGTCAATGATACCTCGTTTGCAACTTGATTCGGCCAAGGTACGTCCCAGCCTTCGTTTAGACCTACGTCAGAGTCAATTAAGGCAGCAGTCAAGTTACACTTCTGTACATTCGTCAGTATGCTTGCTGCTTCAGTTGCTTTAATATTTGAGCTGTGCAAAGTGTCTGCGACCTTTATCCGAATTTCGGAGGGAAGATGTTTCCGATTTCTCCGCCATCGATCCAAAACATCCTTTGCTTGTTGCTCTGACTGAACCACAAGTTTTAGGATTCTAGGGTCACATCCTCTATAATTTGGTGAGTGTGGTAGCCTGTTGGGCGATAGCGTCACAATATTATCCACAGAAAATGTTTCACGAATGAAACGCCACTTTTCTAAATCGTGCTTTCCGGTCCCCTGAACATTGTTAAAAAGATATTTTGGCACGCCATGTATGAAGATTGTGTTTAGGCAGTCTTGCTGTCTGTGTCCCTTTTCTGTCTTTCTTTCTGATTGCCCTAGGCTTTAAGGGACATCAAGATAGATGTGTATCCCACAAGATCCGTGTCCCAGCGCGCTTGCGGAGAGCAAAACGTTTTCTACGTCGGTGGAGGATTCTAGTGTCACTCGAATAAGTCTGGGTTCTACATAGTGTGGCGAGTTCGGACGACGAGTAATTCTTAATAAGTTTATGGGCTTGGCCTGGACACTCATCAGCAAGCAC